TAGAGTCATAGAGTCGAAGATAGTAAGGTCAGAAGGGACCATTATGATCATCTAGTCCGACCATCTGCACAACACAGGCCACAGAATCTGACCCACGCACTCCTACGAAAAACCTCTCACTTATGTCTGAGCTATTGAAGTCCACAAATCGTGGTTTAAAGACTTCAAGGAGCAGAGAATCCTCCAGCAAGTGACCCGTGATTTGGTTATAAAGCAATTTCAAATTACATCTGAAACGTACAGAGTAAAATTTTGAACCCTTAAGAGAGGGCCTGGACTAAGTAATGTGACTTATCTAAACCAGACGAAGGATCTGTTAGATAAATGGGTCCAAGGAAAGGATGTCACTAGCTTTGACGAAATGTGTGATTTGATAGCTCACGAGCAATTCCTGAATATGTCCAAGGAGGAAATAAAACAGTGTTTATGGGATAAGGAAATGGACTCAGCAAAAAGTCTTGCTTCTTATGCTGATCGATACGAGCAGTCCCAGACCGCCAGAGAGGCGGGGCAAGCCGGAACAAAATGGGTGGAGGGAGGAGAGAGGAACAACCCTGATCACAGTTGGAGCGCATACCAGAAGGGACACCCTCAGACCACACCCTACTACCGGGGGCAGCCCAAAGCCCCAGCTACACACCAAGGAATACTCCAGACACCTTATCGTTCTGCCACACCGTTCTCCAGCAACCCACCTCGCCCCAGTGACCCGTCAGCTGGATGATGTTTTAAATGTAATGAGCTGGGGCATGTAAAGGCCAACTGCCCCAAGAACCCCAACAGATTACAGTTCATTGCACTGGGATCACACCAGAGGTCCTCAGGCCCAGATACCTCCCAGATATCCTCAGAGCGGAGGAAAACTGTGAGTGTGGGCGGGAAGAAGGTCACCGCGTGGAGGGACACCGAAGTACAAGTGTCGGCTATCCATGCTTCCTTAGTGGACCCAAATTTAATCGACCCAGCGATCCAAGTGACAATTCAACCCTTCAAGTCCAACTCTTTCAATTTGCCTACAGCCAAGTTGCCTGTCCAGTACCAGGGCTGGTCAGGAACATGGACTTTTGAAGTTTATGATGATTATCCCATCCCCATGCTGCTGGGGGAAGACTTGGCCAATCATGTGAAGCTAACCAAGAAGGTGGGAATGGTCACCTGCAGCCAGGCTAAACAAGCTGTCACGCCTAGCTCTGTTCCGGAAACTTCTATCAGGACCTGGTCAGAGGTGATGGAACTGGACTCCATGCCAATGTCAGCAACAGCAGCAGTGAATCAAGTCCCAGAGACCCAGACAGAGCCAGCCCCAGAACCGGCAGAAAAACCAGCACCAGACCCATTGCCAGCACTGAATCCAGTACTTGCAACCCCAACACCAGAGGGCCCCACGGAACCTGAACCAGCAGCAGCCAATAACTCTACACAAGAGGCTCAGCTGGAGCCTAAACCCCAACATAGTGCACCAGTGGAGAGTGGTTCACAGTCAATGGAAACAGCCCCATCCCCTACATCACTTCCAGAGGGACCAAGCCTAGGTCCACAATCCAATGAGGAACTGATGTCTCCAGCATCAAGGGAACAGTTCCAGACCGAACAGGAAGCAGATGAAAGCCTCCAGAGAGCTTGGATGGTGGCACGGAGCAACCCACTGCCTCTCAGCTCTTCTAATCTATCCAGAGAATTAAAGGTTTGTCAGTTTACAGCCCAGGGAGAAGATGACGCTGAGTGGCCTGAAGGTGTCTACTACGAAGGGAAAAGTGTTGGTGGCGTGGGAGAGGTGAACCTCTCCATGACCCTTGGGCGTATGCAGCAACAGCAGATCAAGGAGCTGTGCATTAGCTATGCGCTGACATTCTCAGCCACCCCAGGACTGACTGAATGGGCATACCACTCCATTGAAACAGGTAATGCTCACCCAATTAAAGTCCAACCTTACCGGGTGTCTCCTCAAGCTAAAACTGCTATAGAACAGGAGATCCAGGATATGCTACAGATGGGGGTAATCCGCCCCTCTGGCAGTGCATGGACATCTCCAGTGGTTCTAGTTCCCAAATCAGATGGGGAGATACGTTTTTGCGTGGACTACTGTAAGCTAAATGCTGTAACTCGCCCAGACAACTATCCAATGCCACGCACAGATGAACTATTAGACAGACTGGGACAGGCCTAGTTCATCTCTACCTTGAACTTAACCAAGGGGTACTGGCAGGTACCACTAGATGAATCCGCCAAGGAAAGGTCAGCCTTCACCACCCATGTCAGGCTGTATGAATTTAATGTACTCCCTTTTGGGCTGCGGAATGCACCCGCCACCTTCCGAAGACTTGTAGATGGTCTCCTAGTGGGATTAGGAGAATATAAAGTCGCCTACCTTGACGATGTGGCCAAATTTTCGGATTCCTGGGCAGACCACCTGGAACATCTACAAAAAGTCTTTGAGCGCATAAGGGAGGCAGGACTAACTGTTAAGGCTAAGAAGTGTCATATAGGCCTAAACAGAGTGACTTACCTTGGATACCATGTAGGTCAAGGAACTATCAACCTCCTACAGGCCAAAATGGATGCTATCCAAAAGTGGCCTGTCCCAAAGTCAAAGAAACAGGTCCAATCCTTCTTAGGCTTGGCCGGATATTACAGGCGATTTGTAACGCAATACAGCCAAATCGTCGCCCCACTGACAGACCTAACCAAAAAGAAACAGCCAAATGCCGTTCAGTGGACCGAAGAGTGTTAAAAGGCCTTTAACCAGCTTAAAGCGACACTCATGTCTGACCCTGTACTAAGGGCCCCAGCCTTTGACAAACTGTTCCTAGTAATCACAGATGCATCTGAGCGTGGTGTGGGAGCAGTTTTAATGCAGGAAGAATCGGATCAAGAATTCCATCCTGTAGTGTTTCTCAGCAAGAAGCTGTCTGAGAGGGAAAGCAACTGGTCAGTCAGTGAAAAAGAATGTTCTGCCATTGTCTATGCTCTGGAAAAGCTACACCCATACGTTTGGGGATGGCGTTTCCACCTGCAAACCGACCATGCTGCGCTACAGTGGCTTCATACCACCATGGGAAATAACAAAAAACTTATTTGGCGGAGTTTAGCTATCCAAGATTTTGATTTCGACATCCAAGACATCTCAGGAGCTTCTAACAAAAGTGGCTGATGCACTCTCCCATGAAAGTTTCCCAGAATCAACTGGTTAAAATAGTCTTTGAGATGTGGAAAATATTGTTAGTCTTTATATACTTGGAAGTATATTTAGAGGTGCATGTGTCTTATTAACTCTGTTTTCTCCTAGACCTCCCGGAAGAAATCACAGCCAGCGTTTCACCCTATCTGTGATTTGGGGGGCATGTCATAAATATAAAGGGAAGGGTAAACACCTTTAAATCCCTCCTGGCCAGAGGCAAAACCCTTTTACCTGTTAAGGGTTAAGAAGCTAAGATAACCTCTCTGGCACCTGATCAAAATGACCAATGAGGAGACAAGATACTTTCAAAGCTGGGGCGGGGGGAGAAATAAAGGTTCTCTCTGTCTATGTGATGCTTTTGCCGGGACCAGAGCAGGAATGCAGGTCAGAACTCCTGTAAAGAGTTAGTAAGCAATCTAGCTAGATATGCATTAGATTCTGTTTTGTTTAAATGGCTGATAAAATATGTTGTGCAGAATGGAATGTATATTCTTGTTTTTGTGTCTTTTTGTAACTTAAGGTTTTGCCTAGAGGGATTCTCTGTGTTTTGAATCTGATTACCCTGTAAGGTATTTACCATCCTAATTTTACAGAGGTGATTCTTTTACTTTTTCTTGAATTAAAATTCTCTTTTAAGAACGTGATTGCTTTTTCATTGTTCTTAAGATCCAAGGGTTTGGGTCTGTGTTCACCTATGCAAATTGGTGAGGATTTTTCTCAAGCCTTCCCCAGGAAAGGGGGTATAGTGCTTGGGGGGATATTTTGGGGGGGAGACATTTCCAAGTGGGCACTTCCCCTGTTCTTTGTGTAACACTTTGGTGGTGGCAGCGTTTAACCTAAGCTGGTAAGAATAAGCTTAGGGGGTTTTTCATGCAGGTCCCCACATCTGTACCCTAGAGTTCAGAGTGGGGAAGGAACCTTGACATCTCATTTTATTATTAGGTTGTAAGTTCTTTGGGGAAGGGACAGTATTTTGGTTCTGTTTGTACTGTGTCTAGCACAATGGGGTCCTGGTTCACGATGAGGGTTCCTAGAAACTATAGTAATACAAATAATAAATAGTAATAAATAAAGGGCATATCTTAGAGGTACAGTGTATGAAATGTACTTCCTGGAATTAAAAAACGTACATGAGTTTCCTCATATGCATAATCAATAGTGAGCTGTCTCAGTACATGCTAATTTTTCACATCTTTTAGCTAACTCAGGGATCCAAATGTAAAATCATAGACATTAGAGGTGGAAAAGACCTGCTCAGTCATTTTGTTAATCCCTTTGCCATTGCAAGTTTGTTCCCTATAGTATATTCTCAAGTGCACTTGAGGGCATCATATGGATTTGTGACACACTGTGTGACTTTGGCTCCACAAACCAATGACTGGATTACACTCACCCACCTGTGGTTTATTCATTGGTTCAATTCAATAAACTCGGACTTAGGATACAAGCATTGCCAAAGTTAATTAATCAACTCCGATAGCCATTGCTTCAGAGAAGTCCTTCCTCTATCATTTCCATTTGTCAGGGCAGATTTCACTACAGTATAGGTAATATTTTTTGATTATTAACAAAGCCAAGAAAAAATTGTAAAATGTTGCTTATATGGTAGAAATATTATTCATCTTATTTATCCATTGCACCACTGTGTGGGAGAACACAGCTCAGTGGGAATTGCAATTCCCCCTCATATATTATGTAAACAGCATTTTGTTAAACATGTAGCATACATCTTAGTAATATAACAGCCATACAATTTTTGACTGAGGAATAGTATGGTAATATGCTTTTCAGTTCAAACAAAGCTGTAACCCTAACTGCCCCATCTTGTAATACTGTACGTATTGCAGGCATACAATATTGTGGGTCTATATATAATTTTGGATTCCATCAATCACAAATAGATTATTAGGAATACAAGTATATATTATATTAATTGTATCTCTTGCTAATGCATATGTTGGCTAGGTTATTTAGAACGTCCAGTTTTAGCAAATTAAAATTAATTTGATACTTAATCTTAGTCACTGTTCTGAGTTATTTTTATTTAATATTTGTATTATGGTAGCACACAGCAGCCCTAACCCAGATCAGATCCCACTGCACTTTCCACTCTACGAAGAATGAGAGACAGTTCCCACTTCAAAGAGCGTACAGTCTATATAGACCAGACGGATAAAGGGTGCAAAAGGAGGCATAGAGAGTGTCTCCTGAGTCTTAGACCAGTGACCTATAAAGAAAAAAATAATTAGAATCCCATCTTGGATTAGAGAACCAGAACAAACCTCACAGGAAACCTATACTTAGCTAGAGGTAAGACGTGAACAGTGGCCATATTTGTCAGAACATGGAGCACGGATCTGGATATTCTGTACATGCAAGATTGCCAAAGAAAATAGCACAATGTATAAGGTAAATGCTGCTACTGTTGTAGTGCTCTGAGATACACCTACTTTTTTAGGGTTTTTTTCCCCCAAAACAAAGATCAGACGTGATCTCCCAGTGATTGAAAGAGATATAGACAAGCAGGTTAGGCACAAAATTTCACTTACCGTAAAAATACTCTATGCTGGTTTAGAAGTATCCTGTGGATCCTAAAAACCTATTTTTGGAATCTGCTACTCCACCAAGAAACTTTTAATAGGCAATTGATATCCATTGTAAATGCTGGTCTCCCAACAGCTTTGTTTTTACTGTTGAAAAGATGGCAACATACCCAGCAGGTTAACTAATGAACTGTATTTCCTAGAATTGTGCTGACGACATTGACGTTATCAGTTATGCTTATGACAACAACACAGGCAATGAAGGAAAATCCATTTGGTTTGTGTTCTCTGAGAAACAGAAGGAAAAGTAAATCAATTATTTGCCAAAGAGAAAAAAGGAAACCATGACAGGAAAAAAAATTACATGCTGGCCCTTAGACAGCAAAAATAAGAATTAAAATATACTTTGTATTATCACTTTAAATTGCTCTAAAGGTGATTCTTGGAGTAGGATATTGTGGGCTTACAAGTATATTCTCTCATTACTTCCAAGTCAAATTTGCTTAGTTTTTCAGTCGAAAGATTAAGGGTGAAATCCTGGCTCCTTTGACTTCAATGGGAGTTTTGGAACCAGGATTTCACCTATAGATTCAGTGCCCATTGAAGACAGCAATACAGCCATGGGTCCTGATCTCTCCAGTGCTATTTTCAGCACCGGGATTGTCCATGACTTGCTTGGCTTTGCAGCCAAAGGCAGCCTACTGTCCCTTCATGGGAACAGACAGCTAACTCTGACGCTGGATCCATAGACTAGGATGGCCTCCTAGAAGAGGAAGGTATAGAGCCTCTGTTGTCTATTAGTGTGGGCTCAAGGAGGGTAGGCTCCACACTGGGAGTAGCCATCTGTGAAATGGGAATCCTGAGATGTATGTGTCTACCTCTGGGAATGTGGAGGGGCAAAACACAGAATCACAGAAAAGTAGGGCTAGAAGGGACCTTGAGAAGTCATCAAGTCCACCCCATTGCACTGTGGCAGGATCAAGTAAACCTATATCACCGCTGACAGGTGTTTGTCCAAGCTGTTTTTAAAAACCTCCAATGATGGGGATTTCACAACCTCCCTTGGAAGACTATTCCAGAGCTTAACTTCCTTATCGTTAGAACGTTTTTCTTAATACCTAACCTAAATCTCCCTTGCTGAAGATTAAGTCCATTACTTCTTGTCCAACTTTCAGAGGACATGGAGAACAATTGATCACAGTCCTCTTTACAGCAGCCCTTAACATATTTGAAGACTGTGATCAGGTCCCCCCTCAGTCTTCTTTTCGGAAGACTATACATGCGTATGGGTTGTTTGTTTTTAACCTTTCCTCATAGGTCAGCTTTTCTAAACCTTTTATAATTTTTGTTGCTCATCGCTGGACTCTCTCCAGTTTATTGACATTTTTCCCAAAGTGTGGTGCCCAGAACTGAACACAGTTTACCAGCTGAGGCCTCACCAGTGCCGACTACAGCAGGACAATTACTTCCCATGTCTTACATATGACAATCCTGTTAATATACCCCAGAATATTAGCCTTTTTTTGCAGCTGCATCACATCGTTGACACTTATTCAATTTGTGATCCACTATAAACTCCAGATCCTTTTCAGCAGTACTGCCACCTCACCAGTTATTCCCCATTTTGTAGTTGTGCATTTGATTTTTCCTTCCTAAGTGAAGTATTTTGCACAGAGCCATCCCTAGGGTACAGTGAATCTGGGCGACCGCCCCAAGCCCGGCACTTTTTGGGGTCCCGCGCTTCGTGAGAAGGCGGGCAAGGAGGTGAGATGGGTGGCTGAGGGGGGGCAAGGAGGAGCCCCCCTACCAACCTTCCCCTCCTTCCCGCACCTCCTGCCCGCTGGTTGGCCCTGCCAATCAGCGCCTCCCACTTCCTCCCAGGTCCTACAGCGTCTGGAGCTGCTGGGGGGCAGGAGCGAGGGTGCAGCGCACTCGGGGGCGGAACTGGGCGAGGCAGGGAAGAGGCAGGGCTGGGGCTTTGGGGAAGGGGTGGAGTGGGGGTGGGGCCTGGGCAGAGCACCCCCCGGCAGATAGAAACTCGGCACCTATGTCCTGGGCCCCGCACTCTCCTAGAGACGGCCCTGATTTTGCACTTTGTTGAATTTCATCTAGCTGAATTCAGACCAATTCTCCAGTTAGTCAAGGATGTTTTGAATTTTAATCCTTTCCTACAAAGTGCTTGCAACTCCCCCCAGCTTGATGTCATCCACAAATTTTATAAGCATACTCTCCACTCCATTATCCAAGTCATTAATGAAAATATTGAATAGTACTGGACCTTGGACTGATCCCTGCAGTACCCCAATAGATACGCCTCTCAGTTTGACAGCGAATCACTGGTAACTGCTATTTGAGAACAGTTTTTCAACCCGTTTTGCCCTCGCCTTATAGTAATTTTTTTTAGACCAGTGGCTCTCAACCTTTCCAGACTACAATACCCCTTTCAGAAGTCTGATTTGTCTTGCGTACCCTCAAGTTTCACCTCACTTAAATACTACTTGCTTACGAAATCAGACATAATACAAAAGTGTCACAGCACACTATTACTGAAAAATTACTTTTATGTTCTCATTTTTAGCATATAAATATTGTGCTTACATTTCAGTGTATAGAATATAGAGCAGTATAAACAAGTTATTCTCTGTATGAAATTTTAGTTTGTACTGACTTAATGCTTTTTATCGGTTGATGTACCCCCTGGAAGACCTCTACATGAACCCCTGGTTGAGAAGAACAGTTTTAGATCACATTTCCCTAGCTTGCTTATGAGAATCTTATGTGGGACTGTGTCTAAAACCTTATTAAAATCAATATCAGATCTACCGCTTCCCCCTGTCCACTAGGCCAGCAACCCTACCAAAGAAGAAAATTAGGTCAGTCTGCGCATGATTTGTTCTTGACAAATCCATGCCAGCTGTTCCTTATAATCCTATCATCCTCCAGGTACTTACAAATTGATTGTTTGGCCATGACGGAAGTGGTCCAAGAGCCCTGGCCCAAATGAAAACGAAGAGTTGGATTTTCATAAGCGTTCAACACTAGCCTAGCAATGCTTCCCTTTGAAGTCAAGAGGGGAGGTAGGCCAATGCTGAGCATTTATAAAAATCGCACCCCAAGTCTTTTGCACCATTACACACCTAACATTACTAACTCTAATGCCACTAAACAATAAAAATTAGGGGATTTATAGAATTTAAAAATGTGAACTTGTTCTGGGCAAAGGCAGCTAGCTGTGAAAAAGAAGAAATTTTGGGTAGTGGAGACCACATAGTTCTTTATTAACATTAGCTCTAAACTGGTGGTTCCCAAACTTGTTTCGCCGCTTGTGCAGGGAAAGCTCTTGGCAGGCCAGGCCGGTTTGTTTACTTGCTGCATCCGCAGTTTTGGCCGATCGCGGCTCCCAGTGGCCGCGGTTCACTGCTGCAGGCCAATGGGAGCTGCTGGAAACGGCACGGGCCAAGGGACGTACTGGGACAAACTACTGATGCCACAAAAGCAGGCGTGTATGCCCCTAATAGGTAGTGCTTTCCAGGAGGTTCTTGAATTTCAACAGCACAGTGGAAGCAATAGCATGTATCCCACCAGTGTGAATATGCAGCCACCACCTTGAATAAAAATAGCAGCTTTCATTTAAAATTAAGGTCTTGTTCATATTTGGGAGTAGCTTCAACTCAGCTACCAATGGTGAATAACTGATTTTACCACTTGAACTTACCCTTGGTAAACTCACAAATAGCAGCTTTCCTTGTTGGCACTTGAATGGTAATGATACCCAGCTCTCATATAGCACTTTTCATCAGTAGATCTCAAAGCGTCTTGTATTTATCCTCACAACATATTATATCTCCATTTCTGGGGACTGATGGCCGACTCCCAAATATAGATAAACCCTTAGGTCCAGATCCTCAAAGATACTGAAATCAATGGGAGTTAGGCATGTAACTAGTCTCTAGCCGTTATGGTGACAAAGGAAATCTTCACCATATGAAATGAGTGTAAACCTACAGCATAAAGCAAGCACACAAGGAGAGGGATGATCATATTATAAAGATCAATTGTGAGCAGTGTCTTGTTTTGGAGGGTGGACTTTGATTTTTGTCAGTGGATCTTGGCTAAGCAACCTTGTTCTATCCTCTCCATCCCCTCAGTGACTTCATAATATATAAATCAGTATTCCTCAGGATGCCTACATTTGCTTTCCGCAAGGTGCTGCACCTGCAAGATTACAAGCAGTGCACACTGGTTGCCTGGGGTTACAGAAGACAGAAGGAGAGTGCACCTGAAACACATTTCCCCACCCAAAATGGCCTCTTGCTTGGGCTTTGTGATCTGTGTCTGTCTTGGAGTGCCAAGGACTTCAGTACAAGAGTTAGTTTTCTGTTTGTTTTGACCTTCCTGTGTTTTACTAATGTGAACGGCAGATCTGTCTTCCAGTTGGGGATGGGGGAAAATACTTAAGGGCAAAGTTAACTGTCCAAATGATGAAGCACAAAAATCCTAAAATCTCCTACCCATACTCATCAGGCAGCTTGAGCGTTATAAGCTGGCCCATTGCCTTGGGCTGCCTCCCCTCCCTGGGGCCTCCTCTCGCTTTTTGACTTGGCTCTGACATTGAGGAGGTTGTGCAGGTGCTGAAATACTTATGCCTAGTCCATCAGCAGCAAAGCAAGCAGCGCCAGGAAAGCCGAATAACGGATCGCGTCCTCCCAATTACCAGGGCCCAGGAAAACAATGCAATTAAAATGATAGATTGGCTGCACCAGCGAGCAGGGCGCACCGGGCGGCTTATTTAGCGCAAATTTTCCTTCTTCGTTGTGGATTGCAGCGTTTTGGACCCCCTTTCACCAACCCCCGTCTAAGGCGAGGAGCGAGCAGCGCGGGCGCCTGGCTCCAGGGGTGTGTTCGGAGGTAGCGGCTCACAGGTGCGAGCCCCGGGGGGAGGGAGGCGGGCTTCTCCGTGCTAAGGGGCTGAGTCAGCAGACTGGAAAGAGAGGGGGCGCCGACGCGACCCTCCCTGTGCTCCCCGGCCATAACGCGGCTCCGCAACATCGCCGTCTAGAAGGGGGCAGGCTCGGGGAGCGCCGCACGCCCCCTTCTCGGCCCCCGCCGAGCGCCGCTGCCCCCGGGAGAGAGCGACGAGCGCTCGCGCCGCAGGAACAAAGCCCCCAGCCCCACCCAGCCCCTTTGCACCGCGCCTCCTGCCAGAGGCGCGGGGAGGGACCTGCAGCTCCACCGGGAGCCTGGGGGGAGCGACGCCCCCAGCCCACCCCCATACTTGTGCCGCGCAACCCCCCGCTGGTACGGCTGCCTCACGAGGTCACTGTCCCCTCCCAGCCCGCTTGTACCGCCGGGCGCTGACCTCGACGAGGAGGGAAGAGCGACGCGCCTCCGCTGCTCCATGCCACGGCTACCCTGGCGGGAGCAATGCACCCACCCCCCAGCCGCTTCGCGCCGCCGCCCCAGGACCTTGCCGGGGGACTGCGCCCCCCACGCCCCTTTGTAGCGCTGCTGCAGAGGGAGCCTTGCAGCCCCCCCTCCAGCTGCACCAGTGGCCGGCGCAGGGGGAGCTGGTAGCGCGCCTCCCCCGGGGCCCCTTTGTGCTGCTGCTCGGATCTGCCCTAAGACACGCGGCGGATGCGTCACGGCGGAGGCGCTGCTGCTGCTAGCAACGCGCACAAGCCCATTCACCTCAAGGCAACCCATCCCCGATCGATCCTTTCCCGCCCCCCCGCCCCAAGCCGCTCCGGAGAGCCGTCCCAGCAGCTCCGCCATTTCCGAGAGCTGAAACAGAAGGGCTTGGAGCATCCCCTGCCTTGCACCCACCCACCCACCGGCCCCGCACAAAGGGAAAAGGCAGAGGAGTAGGTGGGGTAAGTCCAAGCCTGTTCTTTCCCGTAGGTAGCGACTCTTTCGGCTGCGGCTATTTGGGAGAGGGGAGGAGAGCTTCATGCCCAGCATCTCGTGGTGGGGAAGGACGCTGGAGGGCTTCTCGTTGCGCTCTGCTCTCTCGCCCCCCTCTCCTGGAGATGGGCACGTTCAGAGTCAGCCGAGAAGGGATGGATGCGGAGAGGGGGGCGATGTCGCTGGGCAGAGAGAGATGCAGAGATGGGGACTGTGGAAATGGATTGATGGACGTGGGGGGGAAAGCTGTGTCGATGGAGAGATGCGGTGAAAGGGGCTGTGTGGATGGAGGGGACTGCGGGGATGGATGGATAAACTACATAGAAGGATGTTGCATTTCCACTTGATGTTATTCAGGGCTTCCAGAAAGCGCTCTGGAGAGGATGCCATTCGCCCTTGGACTGGGAAGGAATACAGAGTTTTAATTAGTCTTCTGTTTAAAAAACAAAAAACCAAAAAAAAAAAAAAAACCCAACCTCCACCTCCTCCCAAACTGTGACACAATTATAGCTTATGCCTTCCTAATGACAATTCAGAAAGTAATAGCAATGTAAAAAAGTGGAATTAGATCACTTGAGATCAACAGAAGAAATTTTCCCTGAGGGGAAAAAAACAAAACAAAAACGTGTTTTAGGATTTGTGTGTTTGGGGCATATTTTTGGTGCAATATGAGTTTAAGACCTATCACTGTGTTAAGGTTATCATTTTTATGTGTGTGTACTTGTAGGACTTTTTTTTTTAAATTTTTTAATCCAGGAAGGATGGTGAAACTAGGGAATAATTTCAGTGAGAAGAGCACAAAGCAGCCCCTTTTGGAGGATGGATTTGACACTATCCCCTTGATCACACCCCTGGATGTCAATCAGCTACAGTTCCCGCCTCCTGATAAGGTACAGTAGGCTACAGTTTCCACCACAGAGAATCACACCCAATCTCTCTCAAACAACAGGAGAATCATTTGTGTAATAAGCCATTTAGAAAACTCCATTTATTAGAGGGCATTTTAAGGAGTGGCTATTTCTTCTTGAGAAAAAAATAAATAATTAAGCCAATGATCATCATAAACATTTCAGTAAAAGTGATTTTTTTTTTCATTTAAATGCCATTAGTTATCATTAAAACACATATTATAGGGTTAGATGGTACTGAAAAAATCAGTGATAAGTACTTTTAGATTTCTTTAAAAAAAGAAAAGGAGTACTTGTGGCACCTTAGAGACTAACCAATTTATTTGAGCATGAGCTTTCGTGAGCTACAGCTCACTTCATCAGATGCATACCGTGGAAACTGCAGCAGACTTTATATATACACAGAGAATATGAAACAATACCTCCTCCTACCCCACTGTCCTGCTGGTAATAGCTTATCTAAAGTGATCAACAGGTGGGCCATTTCCAGCACAAATCCAGGTTTTCTCACCCTCCACCCCCCCACACAAATTCACTCTCCTGCTGGTGCTAGCCCATCCAAAGTGACAACTCTTTACATAATCAAGTCGGGCTATTTCCTGCATTAATCAAGTCGGGCTATTTCCTGCATAAATCCAGGTTCTCTCACATCCCCCTCACCCCCATACACACACAAACTCACTCTCTTGCTGGTAATAGCTCATCTAAATTGACCACTCTCCAAGTTTAAATCCAAGTTAAACCAGAACATCGGGGGTGGGGTGGAAAAAACAAGAGGAAACAGGCTACCTTGCATAATGACCTATGCAAGGTAGCCTGTTTCCTCTTGTTTTTCCACCCCCCCCCCCCCCCCGATGTTCTGGTTTAACTTGGATTTAAACTTGGAGAGTGGTCAATTTAGATGAGCTATTACCAGCAAGAGAGTGAGTTTGTGTGTGTATGGGGGTGAGGGGGATGTGAGAGAACCTGGATTTATGCAGGAAATAGCCCGACTTGATTATGTAAAGAGTTGTCACTTTGGATGGGCTAGCACCAGCAGGAGAGTGAATTTGTGTGGGGGGGTGGAGGGTGAGAACCTGGATTTGTGCTAGAAATGGCCCACCTGTTGATCACTTTAGATAAGCTATTACCAGCAGGACAGTGGGGTGGGAGGAGGTATTGTTTCATATTCTCTGTGTATATATAAAGTCTGCTGCAGTTTCCACGGTATGCATCTGATGAAGTGAGCTGTAGCTCACGAAAGCTCATGCTCAAATAAATTGGTTAGTCTCTAAGGTGCCACAAGTACTCCTTTTCTTTTTGCGAATACAGACTAACACGGCTGTTCCTCTGAAACCTTAGATTTCTTTGTTGCTTTGGGGATACGGTGTAGTATTTTGCAAGCTTGTCTGTGATATGTTGTCATTCTTTTCATTGTATGTCCTTATCTTCAGAATCTGTAAGGCAGCTGTGAAAATTCATTGGGGGTGAAATGTATCCTGCTGGCTGTAAGACCTCCCAAAGTGTGGAAGCATTGCTTTAGAACTCCACAGGGTGGGCTCAGGCAGGACAGCCACACAGGGAACTTCCACACCATTTGTGTGTCTCAGAAGGGGCTCCATGCTGATAAGCCAACTGGAAAGGGGAAGCTGTGGATAGGATAGTGGCTGGGCTACTAGATGCATAATTAACAGATTCTGTGGTCCAAAACTCCTGAATAGGGTGTGTGGATTAGTATCTGCTGTTCCAGCCCATAGGCTGGAGTGTGGATCAAAGAAAGGTTGTACTGCCACCCCCTATCCTGCCCACTTGGGGGAGAGGCTTGTATTTCACCTCCCTGACCGCTGCTAGTGGTCCCTTATGCAAAGCCTGATTATTCAAACTTTGATGCAGAAGGGCAAATGCAGAAACCTCAAGACATTTTTTCATTCCCCACACAAATAATCTGATAATAATTATCAGTTATGGGACATAATGGAACAGATACAAGAAAACAGTTTTGTGTTTTGTGTTTTTTTTCAAACATTCTTCCGTTTGTATAAGTTAAAAGCTTACTGGTCTCTGGTGTTGATACCTTCTGAAAAATAATATAAGCAGCCATAAACTTGAACTGGAAATGGTCACTAAATACATATGGTAACAAATTTCATGGTGAGTTTTTGCTTCATAATCTTTGAAGGCTTAGTTCTTTTCTTAGATAAATGGTAGGTATAGGTTGCATATCTTGAAAATCTCATGTGCTCTTACCCTAGAGATAAAGAATATCTGTAAAATTGTCTAAACGTTCATGTATGGTGACAATAAGGGTCTATTTATACCCTCCATTACATGGGTGTAACTTCCATTGACATTTCTGTATAGTATGTGGTCACCACTTGGCAGGCACTTTAGATGGGATTAGCCCATAACATTGGCTTCAAAGCCCGAGAGCCTGTTTCTGCCCTCAGTTACATGTATGTAATTCCTGTGCTGAGGGCAGAATTGGACCCAAACGCTTTAAAACTGTTGTTGTGGCTGACTGTGTCTGCCAGTTGGTGAGCAGACAACCAGTTAGCAGGGTCCTGCATCCAGAGGCCAAACTTGCTGAGTGTGCATGTTATATTACTCAGCTGCTAAGCAGAGCCTTGAACCAGGAACCCCTGTAGTCCACAGGCAGCAGATTAATGAAAATGGAGCCACTGTGGTTAATCCAGTAAGAGCTGTACTAAGTTTGTCATTACTGGAAGTTGTTCTTTGATTAGTACGTGGTCAAGTAGCACTGGGCAGAACTCCCACTGCAGATAACAGGAGTTGTGTGAGCAGAACCAAGGGCAAGTTATGGACCCGAACAGAGGACTCAAACATTTGGTTAGCATTTCTTCTTTCCCCACTGCTCATCTGTGTGTGTGTGGTGGTTCCTTTGTGCAATCATTTACAACGAGTAGAAGAGTATTTTACAGGCCTCAATGGGTCCCTTTTGTGCCCAGCCAGGTAAGATGCTTCTTAGTTCGTAGACCACTGATACAGACTTAAATGTTTTTTATTTTTTAATAGAGCTCATATTAAAGATGCCAGTAGTAGAAAGGATTGACAGAAATCAAATTCTGAAGTAGCAGTGTAGTCTTGTGTAATAAATGTAAGTACATATTTCACATATCCAAGCTTATGCAGTTACAAAGCTCTGGTGTTGCAGTGAAGCATAAAACCTTCATGAAGAGTAGTGACTAATGCTAAGAATTTGATGTTTTTGACAGTTTCTAAATTAAAGGCTGAATTGATTTAAGTATACTTTTGGTTATATTAAACAAAAGAAAACATTATATAACCAGGCAGCTACAACTATGATCACTGTCAGTTGGATGTGATTTTTTTTGAATGCCTGCAATTATGCAATATGATGAAAGGGGGGTAGGTGGGGGGGGAAAAATCCCAAAACCAATGAACTCCCATGATGCCACTGAACATAATTATAATCAAAATGAAGATAGGATGTTTGGAAACTAGTTTCCAAAACTAAGCACATCTATGTAATATTCTAAAGATATTGTGTATGTTTTGTGGAATTGGGCCCAAACCATCACATGTTTCAGAGAAGGAGCTGGCTGAGAAAGTAGGCAAACCCAAAGCTTTTGGTTTAGTGTCTGGCTTAAGTGTCACAGTTCTGCTTTCAGAGGTGTATAGTTCCCACTGACATCAGTGGGTTTCATCTAATGACAGTACTGGGCCCTAAAACCAAAAAGGATACAGAGTTATAATCTTTGGAAGATGACAAAATATGGAACAGATCATTAAGGCTTTGGGAGGCAAAGGGAGGATTGTGCCCAGTTTTGAATGCGATGCTATAGAGACGGTATTGGAAAAAGTTGTAGAAGATGATGCACTATAACTTTGTGAAGGAATAAAGGAATCTAGATTTGTATTCACTAGAATACAAGAGATTAATAGGGACATAACTGAGGTATGGAATATTTTAAGGATATGATGATGAGATGGAATTGTTTGATGGGGCTTTTAGGGCCTTATGGGATTTCAGGAGTCTCTTTACAGAGAAGGCCTGTGTGCAGTTACTACCATAGGTAAATATTTTTTTTAAAAGTTAGCCTGACACTTGAACAATATCACAGCATAGATGCAAAACACAGTATGTAGATGGGTGGGTGGGTGGATGGACCTACACTTCTTTCAGTCCCAGAATGCTACTGTGGAAGAATACTGCTATTGTTACTATGTTGTCATCCGCTCGATTTTATTTTTATTTTTTTAAACTGACCTCTTAATTGACTATCTGATCCAGTCAATCTCTGGTTTCAAACCTCACTAGTTGAATTCCCCTGAAGCTGATAGAGATGACCACTGTGACAGACTGACTATCCTGAACAAACCTTATGGAATTAAGATCAACTTTATTGAATTAAGCTAAATCGTATTGAATTTGGGTTAATATCTTTGGAGTACATTGTACTAAAAATGCAATTGTGTATGTGTTGTTGTGTATCTTCTCTAGTAAGGAGGGGGAGGCTAATGTACTGCCTCTGTTTTCAGACCTTTGAAACCCACTTCCCCAGCCTCCTCCCCAGAAAGGTGCACAGATACTAGCTCAAACTGGATTTTCCAGGGACCAACAAACAAAGGAAGAATTTTGGGATAAACAGCATGGTTTTAAACTGGCTCTTGACCTTCTTCCTGATCCAGTAAACGGACAGGGCCCTGGTCCAGAGCGGGCCCCAATCCTTTGGGAAGGATTGGAAGGACTGGGCCTAATGAGGCCCCATAAGACTGGGTGCTTGTTCTGAGCTGAAGCTGTGATGAGCTTGTAACCAGAAGGAATCCCCTTGGGTGAGGGGTTGAAGGACTGCTCCTGACAGACTCCATGTTAGGGTGATTTCTAGTAAGCTTATTAAAATGTGTATAGGTACTTTTATTGTTTTTTAGTATATTTTCTTCGTAGTGCTTTTTTACCTTAAGAATAACATAAGCGTGCATAGGAAGTGTTGTGTGGTATCTTATAATGGTAGCAATTACGCCTGGTAACAGTCTCTGAAAAGAAAGCAAGTAGGTGTCCTTGGGCAACCTGTCTGTGCTGGGAGTAACACAGTGAAGGCAAAAAGAAAGGGAGTACTTGTGGCACCTTAGAGACTAACCAATTTATTTGAGCATAAGATTTCGTGAGCTACACGAAATCTTATGCTCAAATAAATTGGTTAGTCTCTAAGGTGCCACAAGTACTCCCTTTCTTTTTGCGAATACAAACTAACACAGCTGTTACTCTGAAACAGTGAAGGCAGAGAACTGTGCTGCCTGGAAATACCCCAGTCAGAAGGGAGAGAGATGTGGATCGTCACCCAGAAGGACAACAGCTGGGAAGCTGAAAGCCTGAGAGTAGATTCCCCTCACTGGTCCAGCAAGGGCAATACAGGTGCAGTTATATTTGCTCTTAAAATATACTAAAGGAATGGGGAAACAAATCAGCACCACATCATATTTGATCTTGACCAATAGTGGATTGAACTAACCAATTGCATTTCTGATGGGCTCACATGCACCTACACCCCTATGCACAAATAAAATGTAGCAACATAGCAATTCAGCGTTTAAACAAAACCAATCATTTGTGGAATAGTCTTCTAATTATATGCTCCCTTCAGCTTCCTCAAAAACACATGGAAGGGAAATTCATCAGTATTTGCTAGTTGAAAAAGGGTAAAATTGATAGGAAGGATATTTTAATGTCCTCCATGAGGGAATGATATGTAATAGGAAGAATTAGTTATCATCACTAGTGTGTCTGATGCCAGTGAAAGTAGATAAAATGAATTCAAAAAATTACTTGGTGGTTGTGACCCAAAGCACCCCTGCATTTACACACTACAGTATTGTAAAAATCTTGGCACAAAATATGCCGTATGAGGTATCATTTGAAAACTAATAACTCACTCATTAATATTCTTGTATGATGTATGTATGCAATGGGTATTAAGAATTATGAATCTATGCTGCAATTATAACAGTGTGTGTAAACCAGGTGTGTTGGGGAGTTGTTAAACGGGTGTATCCTGAACAAAGGAGTTTGTGTTTCCATCAATTTACATGTAAACAGGCCCATCAAGCTAACAAGAGGTGGAGGAAAACACACTAACAAGTGGGAGAGAAGACAGGATGGTGTCTACTACACCCAGCAAGAGAGAGAAGCTTGGTCTGGGTATTACTTTTCAGAAGAATCCATTTCAAACTGGCCTATAAAGACAAGGGAGCTGTACCTCAAGTGATAAGCAATTGAATCAACAAATTGAATGCAATATTAATGCATCATGTAAGATCTTTTATGAATGCATGCCCAGATAGGAGGGACTGTCACAGCTGTCCACTTGTCCCTATGTAAATTAGGCATGGTGGAATCAAACAATAGAAATCCCATTTACATAGAAATCACCTAGGGGATGGGAAGCCCACAGGAAGAGAAGAACAGTATGAGGTCATCCTTCCTCTTGAAACAAGTTCATTGGACTTTGGAAAATAAAAGTAAAGATGGAAGCCATCTTTGGCATCCACCACTAGACTGACACAAGAGGCCAGAGTTCTTGCAAGCTGAGAAAGATGGGCCTTAAAACCAAGATGCAGGGGAGGGGTTTGGAACTGAATATAGGTGAGAAACCTGCTTAGGCAAAGATCTTTCATCTAATAAGACAAGGGAAGCCAGTCCCTTGTATTTTTGTGGAAGGTTCTGACTGAGGGAAAGTCAGCCATGACTTGAAGAATGACCTGGTTAGCATAGGTGCTGGGAATAGGTGTGCGGGGGGTGCTGCAGCAACCCATGGCTTCCATTATATACCGAGTTTACAGTTTGGTTCAATGTCTCTCAGCATTCCCACTATAAAAATTTGTTCCAGCACCCCTGCTGGTGAGAGGAACTATCTTGAATAAAGCCTGTATCTTGTTAGATTAAGTTTTAGGCTTTAGTTTTGTTTTACTTATACTTGAACTCACTTAACCTATGTTTATTTTGTTAATTTTTTTCATTTTTACTCAGTGCTGTGTTTTACAGGGAAGTGTGTATTTACCCTGGTTAGCTTAATAAGCTGTGATGTTTTGTGTCTTTAGAGGAATAAACAAACAATATTATTTCTCTGAACTTTCCAGGACAGAGCTGGGCATTGCAGAGCACACAGTTTTGGGAAAACTTGGGACTGGGAGTGTGCTGGAGTCACACTGCAAGTAGTAACCCAGACTGATGAAAGCCAGAGTTAGGCTGTTGACAGGCTGCTGGGGTCAGGGCTGTCTAGCACACAGACAATCAGGGTGTGATCTGCATGTTGGTAAGCTAGTTATGAGCAGCCCAGGTTGGAAGTTACAACAGGAAAGCATTGTGAGGCACCCAAGCTTACAGGGCAGGTGGTGACAACTCCTCACCAGTCCAGATTCCACCCCAGAATGTGACAATGGTATCCTTTTAATTGCATTGGGAAATTTACATTATTTCATATGTAAAGCTATGACCAAGAATAGTCCCATGTCTAGTGCAAAGCTAGGTGTTTTGGGGAAATAAGCCTTAGGGTGTGCAGATCTAATTAGTAATCAATCGCTTTTTTGTTGATGTTTTTGATAAGGTTGTGGTCAAAACGAAAACAGAATATGAACCTGATCGCAAGAAAGGAAAATTTCGTACCCCCAAAATAGCTGAATTCACAATCAGCATAACTGAAGGAGTTTCGGAAAGATTTAAGGTAAGCAAGGCTATCTATGCTGTTAATAACTCAGTTGCTGTTACAGAACTACACTCAATCAATTACCAACTATAGTCAAAGAAAACTTGATTTAAAGAACTAAGATATGGCAGAAAATTTTTTAAAAATTGAGTGCAACTACAGTATCTCAGCATTAGTAATTAGGACCAACTCTTGCAATCCTTACATCCAGGTACTTCACTCCTTACTTTGACAAAAATCCCATTGAAGTTTGTCCGTGGAAGTTCAGCATGATTAAGTGGCGAGTATCTTACGGGCATGTAACTCCCATTATGTGACTAATACTCCCATTAGCTTTAGGGGAGAAGTACTGTACAGGCATCCACTTTCTTTTTTGCTTATTTTTTTTTACCGTATCAAACACATTCTGTAAAAGGAGCAGTCTTTTCCCCAATGTTATTCCTTGTGATGGTCGGTGAATTTGAATGCACTGATTTGGTGGCTCAGGGAATTAGTAAGATGGTGGCGAACAGCTCTGTTACTAGTTCAAATTTATCCCCTAGTATGGTGATGTATGAAAACTCTTACCATCTGATGCCTGTTCAGTGAAAGTGGGTGGTCTAAGTCCATTCCTTGGTGAAAATGTGTCCACATCACAATAACTCCCTTTGTAGGTAGTCTGACAGAGACAAAGGACTTACCGGATGAAAAGACTTGAATCATTCCTCCGCCCCAGGATAGGGTTCCTCAAGCCATATTAGCAAGGCAAAGTGTTGAAATGTCAGCAACAAGGCAAGCTTCTGTACCTGTTCTGTCAAACTTCAATTTCCTGTCTGTCTGGCACCTTGCACAGGCATTAAGTTCACTCAGAAAACATCTTTAAAATATTTTGTGTGTGATGGCAGTTTAAAGTGCACAGACTAAAACATGGCTAGAAGGTTTAAGGTTTAGTTTGGAGATAGAATGCTGGGCTGAAATAAAGAACCATATTCTTTTCCCAGTGCACATGTGTAACTCCCATTGGTGTTAATGGGAGTTTTGTGGGCACATCAAGAGAAGAACATACTCTTTAGCATGCAGAATAGAACACAGCAACCATGCATGAACAATGATTCTGAAAGTTCTTTAGGCCAAAAGCTGCCCTCAGAAGGGTACAGATAGCTTGCTTTGATTTCAGTGACAGCTATATGCATATAGCCAACAGTGGAACTGGAGTCTTTGTGCCTGTGTTGAGAGAGAGCTGAGCAAAGAAGACCTCTCTGAGCAGCAAGTACATTGCTTGTAATATTGTTGTGCAGTCATTTCTAATTTGTACGGCTGAGCAGTTAGAAGCATACTTGAAACAAAATGTCTTTTAGATATGACTTTACAATTACCTCTCTGGGATTAATCTCAAACTACAGGGTTGCTAGGTAGTGCTGCTAGGTAACTGCTGCATCAGAGATTTCTGTAAGATTTTTGTATCTCTGGGGAATTGCATGATGAATCACACTATGGCTGTATGTCTAGGTTTCTGAAGGGAGGGCGTGAGGGGTTGACCAATTAGGAAAATTGTAGTTTGTTTAATAGAAAACAGTAGTTTCATACAGAACAATCAAGCCCTAAAAATGTCCCTCAATTTCCTTATAGCAGTGTTAGGATTAAGTTATGCTGCTTTGTAACATTTTAGAAAAGACTGACTGCTTCTCCAGCAGAGACTATTGTTATATTCACCACTCCCAGTAGTAAACAGTTCATGAATAATTGATAAAATTTCATAAATATGCAGATGAAAAGAAGATTGTTGTGGGATTTTCTCCTGGGTCCTTATTAATTGTGAACCATCATGTTAACTGCTGCTGCTGATTTCTGAGAGAGCAAAAGGATGTTTGTTTGAAAGTCAAATATTTGCTATAATTATAAAATGCATTATTTAACTGGTAGGATATTGACTTTGGCTGGTGTGCATGGAAAAAGCTTCAGAAGCTGTTTTAATGACTTTAGTATTGTACATCAGCTATGCATATGCTTTCTGCAGACTAAAAACATAAAGTTGCACTAAAAATATAAACAAACATATTTCCTAATAATTCACATGTGTATTCCAAGATGTAGTCCTTAAATAAGGACAAAGCAGATTGTATTTTGGGGATTCAGTAGTGCAGATCATCTAAAGCTGTGCTTCTTAAGAAGTTCTACATTATGACAAACTAAGCAGACAACAGGTGCATATGTCATATACCTCATTTGTTTCAGCAGTTGGGTGAATAGGAAGTTGTAAAATATATTCATTCCGACTACACTATCATAGTTATAATACAGCTGAAATTGTTTTAGAGTAGAATTAAAGTGTAATTTTTCCCTATAGCTTAATTAGATATATACAGTCAGATTCTGTTTGTTACTTCAATGCAACTGAAATCAGGATTTGTCCAAAATGGACAGAATATGGACATTGTGTATATATGAGAATCCAATTCTGGTTTTCCGCAAGTAACCACTCTGGTATGGACATGAATTTAAATGGCTAGTTTAGAGTATAAATAGATGTCTGTGGAATTACTGTGGAGAAATATGGGGAATTATTCTGTCACCTTTGGAAAGCCAGCTTCAATTGAATTACATGTAGAGGTTTTTATCTTGTCTCCAACAAGTTGTCCACAACACAGAAACACTACACATAGTTCAGCATGGCTGGCAGTCTCTGCTCAGAAGAGACCTATGGTGGGAATTGTGGGAAGAGGAAGAAGCTATTGCAGGTCAGAATTGAGGTGCATTGACACCTAGGAGTGAAATACTGATTCAACTGAAATCAGTTATGACTCCCATTGACTTCAGTGGAGCCAGGATTTCACACTAGATGTTCGATATTCCTCCCATTGAACACTGGCATAGTGATGCACACGCTGTCAGCTGCACACAACAGTTTCAGAAATAAAGTGGTGCACTATTGAAAGATGATGCTTTTACCTTTTGTGAAATAAACCTTGGTACAGAAACACAATTTAAATGATTTGGAAAGTAAATGTTTCAGTTTCCCCAATACATTTCAAGCCTTTTTTAAAAAATTGTAGTACATTTTATAATCCATGTTGTACTTACAAAGGCAAATGAATTCTTCAGACATTATCCTTGACATCTATGCACACATCAAACTACACAGCCAAAGTCCGAAGCCTATCTGCAACACAAGTCATGTGCTATGAAGTAACAAACAGTTGTTTAAATGTTTACAAGCGGTTATGGGAAAGCAAAAGAGGCATCCTCCTAAAAAAAACAAAAACAAAAAAACCCCAGTTTTCATTATTCACATCCTACAGTTTGGTATCTTTTCCCTATTATTTCAATAAGCCATTTTAATAGATGGAAGAAATGTAAGTGTATACAACATACTTAAAGGTTTCATTATTGATCTACTTAAAGGGATAGAATCAATTTTAAGAATGACCTTTCTCTCTGAAGAGACTCAAGGTGGGTGAGGTGATATCTTTTCTTGGACCAATTTCTATTGGTGGAAGAGACAAGGTTTCAAGCTTCATAGAGCTCTGAAGAAGAGCTCTAATGAAGAGTTCTGTGAAGCTTGTCTTTTCCACGAGCAGAAGTTGGTCCAAGAAAAGATATCACCTCACCCACCTTGTCTCTCTTGTACCCTGGGACCAACACAGCTACAACAATACTGCAGACATCGTTTTATCTCAACTTTTTGCCGGCTGTTCCTATTCATAACGCCTAAAGTTTCTGTAACTGAAAAAGAGACAAGAAAAATATATTTCTGTATTTTGTTTGTTTACTTTGTGGATTTGATGGCACATTGGCTCCAATTCAACAAAGCATGTAAGTACATGAGTAATCCCATTCCTATTCAGCAAAGCACTCGTTTAAAGATAAGCATGTGCTTAAGTGCCTTTGTGTCTAGTCATTAAGGCCTATAACCTGTAAACACTTAACTCACATGAGTAGTTCTTTTGATTTCAGTGGAACTACTTGTGATTTAAAGTTACATGCATGTAAATATTTACAGGACTCGTGCCTTGGTCATGTCTTCATATTATTTGTGAAAATCTTTCTTTCCCAGAGCAACAAGTGTGAGGATTTTTATTTTTTCCCAATAGAACTGCCATTGTAAAATCATGCACATGGGGAGGGGCGCTCTGGGGCAATTGCTTTTTTGTATTTTTGGATAATATCAAGTTGACAATATAACTTTTAAATATCACTGATTGAAAGGTGTGTGTTTGCTTACAATGGGAACTAGTAGATTTAATGTCAGCCGCAAAATGGGAATGTAACAACATCTTATCTGGTCCACCAGCTGGCTGCCATGCCTCAGTTTCAGTAGAAATCCTCTCTTTCTGAGACATTGCAACACTCTACAAACAAACTGGCTGCCTCCAGACTTAAACGCTTCCTTGGCCCTTCCTCAGGCTCCATAATCCTTTCCCCAGCCTGTCATCCCCAGTGCCTGCCCTAGTCCTTGCTCACAGAGTTTACAAGGTTCTTCACTTCACGGTCACAGGGTTTCCCCAGAGTTGTCTGTGTAATCCATTGGTTCTGTTTACTATTGTGGGCCACACATGCAGCCCAGTGTGTTATGTCACATGGGCCGCAGTTGTGTGCTGGTTAGGCCGCAAGTTGAGAACCACTGGTAGTCACGGAGGTTACAGCACCACCAAATGGTGGTGCTATGTCTTCTCAATTACAAGCCCCTAACTCTAAATCCTATGCCATAGACCAGTGGTCACCAACAGGTCGATTGCAATCGATCCTAGAGGATCTCTTGGTTGATCGTGATCTCTGCTGGCACAGCAGGGCTGCCGCTCAGTCAGGCTCCCTACCTACTCTGGCCCCACACCGCTCCCGGAAGCGGCCTGTGGGGGAGAGAGGGGGGTGAAAGGGGGTCTCCCTCTGCATGCTGCCCCTCTCTGCAAGCACAGCCCCGCAGCTCCCATTGGCTGGGAACCAGGAGCTATGGCCAATGGGAGCTGCGGGGGCTGTGCTTGCAGAGCGGGGCAGCACACAGAGACACCTACTGCCCGCCTCCCCGGGGCCAGAGGGGCACG